GAAACTTGAGACTCATTGAGCTTTTAAATTATTTAAGAAAATACCAAATACAAAAATAATAGACAAACCTTTTTCATTAAGATTATTTTTATTATAAATGAAATTAGAAAATTATGCTAAATTATTGAACTTAAAACTGCAAACTTAAATGCAAAAGAATATAAAAATCACAAACTCTCAGTTCAAAGCGCTAAGCCTAGTCCAGGTAAAGGTCATGCACTCGTGACCCATAACCCAGAGAAAATTAATCCTAACATTTGTGGATCAACTTCTTTCCTAAAAATGTATCTGCTTTGAGTTAATTTTTCAATATAATGATTAATATGTATAGGTGTACGATATAGCATGATTTAAGCTACTATAGAAAGATAATAAAAGTCACATACATCCCATGCAGTTTTTACCAGAATCAAATTTTCTAAGGCTTATAAGAAAGTGCTATTGCCTACTAGTAAAGCACAAGCTCTACTTGGCAGTTACTATAATAAACATTACACACGTTCATATTGTAAACTACAGAGAACAAATTTTCATCACATGCTTTGCTTATAACCCTATGATTTGTTAAACATGAAATACATTGATTGGAATAACAGGGTACCGAAATTGACACCTTCGACTAGGATTGGCTAAAAGTTTTACAACTGAGGGTTAGTGAACCCATATACTGTTTACTGAAGAAAATAAACTAGAAAAAGGTTTACATACCAATCATAGATGACAGAACCAGTGCTAAAGTGCAAGGAAAAAAATGTAAAAACATTTTTTTTTTCTTAGAGGTCACTTATTTATAGTCTCCAACACATTTTGGATTTTTTTATTAAATTTTTCTTCAAACTTCTTTAAATAATGCAATTTAGTGCAAATAATTGAATATTATGCTACTATTTACAAAAATAAAATCTGAAAACCAATAAAAGATAAGTTTATAATTTTTCAATTCACAAATGCGATTTGCTTTCCTGATAAGACAAAATGGCTCTGGTAGGTGATGGGTTAAGGACTGTATCAATATCACCAAAATGTTGGCGGATGAGGTAAAAGAATCTACCATAAATGCATGCTGGCATCATCTTTGGCCTGAAGTTCTGAATGATTTCAAGGGATTTCTGATGGTTGAAAAGGAAGTTGCTAATATTGTGAGACTCGCTAAAGAAATCTGAGGTTGGGATTTGATAATAGGAGGGATGAGAAGGTGCTTGAGTTACTGGAATCACATTACCAAATGCCAATGAATGAAGAACTTGAAGTGCCGATAGCCTCCAGCGACAATGATAGTGATGAAGATGCTGAAATGACTGAACCTGCTAAACCCATCCTGACAACGAAGGTTGTGTCCAATTTTCTATGCAAGGCAGAAGAGCATGCAGAAATAGCTGTAGACATTGATCCCATAATGAAGAGAAATATTAAATTTAAGAGGGTTTAATGACTTTCTAGCACCATACAGAGGAATCTTGAAAGATTAATGGAGGAAAGCCAAACAGTTGAAATTTACTGATATTATGAAGCCCAAGTCAGTCAATTAATGCCTTCTGACCCCATCCCATCTATATCTGCTTCGTTGGAGTTTGAGGCAGAATTTTCCGATGATCCATTGGCCTTAAATTAACCTCTCAACCTCCAAATCTATTATCATCATCATTGCAAGTCTTCCTCTCATCAACGAAAGGTCTTCCTTTTCATCATTCATAGGTGAGTGTTACAATAAAATGCAATACTGTATTATTTCATTTGACATATTTTCATTTACAGGTACAGGATATCACATGTGAATGCTATTACGTTAATGATTTTATATTGTTAGTTCATATTCAATACTGGATACTTTCATTTATGTGTAAAAAAAATCCACATATAAGCATTTATCGGAGACTTAACACAGCTGTGTTTCCTTTTCCCTATTAAGGTATTGAGTTCCTCCAACATGGTTTGCTCAAGAAACATATCCCCCATGTTTGAGGAGGGCTCACTGTGTACTCAAACATGTTCCTCTCTTTATGCATTTTTTCTGTTCATGCTCCTATTTTTGAAATATGATTTTAAATCAGTCCTGTTTGTTTTACAAAATTCCCTCGCAAAAAGAAACAGTTTTGTTCTTTACTTTTTTCTCAGAATACGTATTCAGCATGTACAAAGAATGATGGATGGATCAGTGTTGATATTGATATGAAATTTCAGGAATTGCAAAAAATTAATAATTTTCTTGTACTCTTGAAAAGAAGATTTTGATATACATTTTTTTTCTGCCACTAACCATTCAGAAGTTACAGAGCATGACTGACACAGACATTTGGCTATTATATTTGATGATTAATGGCAAAAAATGAAATGCAAGTGTCACCAAAATGAAATATATTATCATGAATGTAGAATTTTAAAAATCTGACAATAAAATTTAACTTTTTTTGACAACATATGAAATGAATTATAAAAAGTAAATCTCTACCTATTTTGAGGCTTGCACCAACTGCTCACCGATTCCTTTTCTTAGGAAGAAATGTTTAGGGGTGATAAGAATCTTTCCTCAGCCAGTGAAGATTCCAAGAGATGTACACATGACAGTTAGTAACATAAACTTGAAAAGTTTTAGGAACAGGCACTTAAATATTGGTAGTGCACAGCACAAAGTTTTGTAAAATTTAGATATGTACTACTGTGTAATTGGTGTAATAATAATAATAATAAATTATTTATAATATATCTCACTATATATCAATGTATTGACTTGCTGGTCCTTTGTCTCTATTTAATACTTGTTTTTGTTTTTTATATTTCATTATTTCTAATGTTTCTCTAATATTTAATGATATAAAACTTTGAGGCTGAGCTAAAATTAAAGTTTTTTCCCATAATATTGTATATTGGGTAGTTTTTACATGTTCGGCTATAGCTGAAGTTTCTGTTTTCTTATTTCTTATGTAACTTTTGTGTTCTTGCAATCTATATTTTAAATTTCTTTTAGTTCGACCAATATAAACACTACCACATTCACATTCTAACTTGTATACACCCATTTTATCTGTTAATTCTATTTTGTCTTTAGCATTCCCTATCGTATCTTTTATCTTATTTATTGTTTTGAAGATAGGGTAAAAATTCTGATACTTTTTAAATACTTTATATAATTGACTTGTTAAACCTGGAATGTAAAGTAAACTTAGGGTTTCTTTTTTTTCATAAACAGATTTTAATGTGGTATTTTTAACTGAATTCACATTTTTGTTAAATTTCTTAAATGCTTTGTCTACTATATTTGGTTCAAATCCTCTATGAATAGCTATATATTTAATTAATAACAATTTGTTATTTAAACCTTCCTGTCTTGAACATATTTTTAAAGCTCTATAAATATATGTGCAAAATGCTGATATTTTGTGGGTTTTTATATGACATGATTCCATAAATTTTTTATTATTATTATTACACCAATGAAATATGGAAATAACAATGAAGTAATGTGAAAAGGGGAAAGTATAAAATAGCCTTGCAAGTTACTTCTGAGGATGATATGGATCACGTAGAAACATGTACGTGTAAGGTGATATTTCTATTTTAAAGTGGAAACCGTATGGCTTCAATAAAGTATTTATTGTGTAAATACAAAATGTTGTTTTTAATTATTTATTATAATTTAAAATTTTATATACAAGTGCCGGTAGGGCATATTTATAAATAAAACACCATTGGTAGTTGGAATTGCAGATCAACCATGATGAAAAATGAACTGCCCTTGTATGACACACCTGTTAACAAAGTCACTAATCACCAGTAATTCTGATTAAGAAGTTAGCACACAGGATCACATACAAAAGATATGGTTTTCAAACAAGACCCAAAACTCAAGTGCTTTCGAATAGTTCACTATTCTTCTTCTTATAATAAATGTTTGATAACAATTAAAAAGAAAGTAACAAAATCATAGGTTTTGGTATTTGTCCTTTTTTCAGAGTAAAATAAAAAACTTATGATTTTCACAGTATTGCATGACAGTGAGATATATACAAGAATACTGGAGGAAAGAAAGACTATGATTTTATGAAATAAAGCCTTTGGATTCTCTAGCCCAAGTTTTGTGATGATAGGCATTTATTTTTCAGTTTTGTTTTGTCTTAATCTTCAAAGAAATAAACCTTCATTACCATGTGAATTTTGTTCACATATAACTAAGTCATTATTATTTTCATCTTTACCTTTGCAATAAATAGTTAGCCTTTGAAATGTTACAGTTAATGAATATCACAGCCTTGATGTCATTTAATATGCTTTTTACTTTTTTGACTTTTGGAGAGTTCTTTATATTGGTGATATAGGTTTATAGAACACTTTGTTGATAGTAATCACAAAAGACTTGTATGCGTGTATTATCTGTTATCACATTCATGGCTTGTGGTGCCTAAATTTCATTTTTTGTTGCTGCTTTTCAACAGAATGTTAACACTCCAAATGTAAGTCTTTTAAAAAGCTTTTTTCATGGTATCTTGAACACCTGGGTCTCTGAGCCTTATTTGACAAAGTTTGTTCTTTCCATCGTATGTTGAAAATTGTTTTAGGACATTCTTGTAATAACCATGTTCATAAGTAATGTAATATATGCTTTATAGCTATCTTGTAATGTCTCAGTTAATCTTCTTTTCTTTCCTTGATATACCTAAATGATTCACATTTTATTGATATTTAAGTTTTTTTCATTGTACATTTCATTTTTTCTTGTGATTGACAAAGAGCAGAATTATTACCAAAGAAATGTATCTTTTTTTTCATATAGGGCGCAATGACATACTATTTTTGGGTTGGTTCTTAATATTTGTTGTACTGAAAAATGTCTAGATTTTTATAATCTGCCAACTACTTTTTTTATCATAGAGAATTTAATTGAAATTCTTGTGGCCTTGTGTTTTGTAATTCAACAAAATATTTATTTTATGAATGATGTATTTTGTGCATGTAAATACTGTTATAGAAGTCTTTGTGCTCACATAAAATTTTTTTCTTTTCAGGGTAGAACAGGAGTTATGGTATGTGCCTACTTGTTACATAAACAGATCTGCTCAACACCTGAAGATGCTATGATTATGTATGGTCAAGCACGAACTCTTGACCAGAAGGTAAAAATTTGTAATATCAACTTTAGTTCTTTATGGATTGGAAAAATATTGTAACGTGTAAATAGTAGCTTTAATAGTTTTATTTACATATTCTTATGACTTAGCTCAAAGATGTTATTGTTATTATGTGTAATAGCCACTCTTACTTATGCGTGTTATAATCATAAGATAATGACTAAGTAATTGGAAAACTGATGTAATTACAACATTTCATGAGAAAGCAATGATATTTGTTTAAAGTTTTCTCTCTCCAGCATTCAGTTCAGTGTTTGCTTTGAAGGAGAGTCAACTTTAATATGCTTGGCTATAGATCATTAATTTGGTATGGTAGACAGTCAATTTATTAGTATAGTTTAACCGAAAAAGGTAGCCTTTCACATTCCCTATAAAACCACACAAGAAACTAATGATTCTGCATCTAATAATGACTATTGTGAAAGCTGTCCAGTATTGTTGATTTGAAAGAGCTCTAGCTCTTTATGATCAGTTCAAATATCATAGACAGATGTTAATAACATTTACTATGAAATTCCTAAAACTTTAGTGTAGGAAGATAAACACACACATATATATTGTATCATAGATCAATACTAGAATGTAATAATTTTGCTTTTACGACTAGGTACCATACTTCCGGTCATGTACATAGCTATTCTCATTCAGTGCTGCCCTCTATTTGCATTTTTTTCACTCCCACACACCCCTTGATTCACATGGTTTAATTGATTCTCACATGCCAATTATCATGCAACAAATCTCCACCTATAATAATGCTACACACCCACATGACTAATGCAACCCCCTCTATTGCAGTGTTTCCCAAATGCTGGTCCGGGGACTGGCGTTTGGTCCTTGAATTAATTTCTACCAGTCCCCAACATGTCTTGGCTGTTGAAAGCACTGACACTTATTTACGTTTTTTTTCAATATTTGATGACTAAAAGTTGCCTAAGTCCTTTTTCTCCAAAAATATTTTTAGAAATTTACCGGTCCATGATTGACCAAAATTTGGTAACTACAGTTCTGTGGTTTTCTACCTAACTATCACTTCTCATTTGGCAGTGCTCATATTCTGATGTTTAGTTTGTGCTCTCTTCAAGTTTTGTTTTTTGTATCTTTATATCAATTTCTCTCAACAAGTTTATTTCTTATACAATAGTGATATCTGTAATTTATTCTGATTGTGTTTGATTATTCATTTGGAATTATGGATTTCAAATTCTAAGTTATCACTTTGGAGTTAATGTCAGCACATTTACACAAGCTTCAGGTGGTGGTCCTTGACAGGGGGAATTGTCAGCTTTTAATTATCAGGAGATTGATTGTCGAATGAGCTGACTTCATTGGATATTGGCTCTAGTTTGGGGGCTCACACATTTTGAAATAAGGTCTGCTGATTTTGGAAAGATAAGGCATTATAGTGTTATGGTTTTTGAATATTTTTACTGTGAATATTATTATCTTTAGTTATTTGGGTTCAATAACACAAGTTTAATTAGATTGGTCAATACTCAGTCAAGTTCAGATTTGAAATGAGATCTTAGTTGTAGCCTTTATCCTGTAACAATAGATTAGGCTTAACATGGGTTTTTGTTATTTTAAGATTACCTGTAATTCATCTTACTGGTATTTTGTAAGTTAGGTTAACTATATTGTTTTTTCTTCAAAACATCATGTGTCATACATATGTTCTTCTCAGTAGATACTTCTTCTCCAAGTATTGTACATATTACTGTTAGGTTAGAGTTTTTAAATTAGAGCTTTGTGATATACTTTGTCCTGCACATTTTGATTAGGCTTAACAAGTGTCTGTTATTTTTTTATTTACCTGTAGTTCATTAGTTCATCTTATGGGTAACTTGATAATTAGGTTAAATATTGTGTTTTCTTCAACACATAACATCTTATACATATGGTTATTTCACTACACCCTTACTTATATTTACATTATATTGACTATATCATTTTCATAATTCTTTATAATTTATACTTCTTACAATTAATTTTAGGGGTTGGGGTCTGCTCTACCTTCCTCCACCCTGTCAATTGGTGCTTACATTTCTGCCTAAACTCAAAGTGATAGTTAGGTAGAATAGCATAAAGGGAGTCATGTGGGTGTGTGGCACTACTATTGGTGGTGGTTTTTTGCATGATAACTTGCATGTGAGAATCAGTTAAACCATGTGAATTGAGTAATGCATGGGAGTGAAAGGCTTGTGGCATGCAAAAACTTTTTTGCAAATAGTGGGCAGCACTGAACAAAAATAGCTATGTATGTGTGTATGTTGGAAATGTATTTTCAGTGTAGGAAACTTATAACTTTAAAGCTCTCATTCCAAAGCACGGCACACTAGTCAAAGCTAAACTTGTAACTAAAAGGTATTGTGAAATTTGTTTCAGTATGATAACATCAGAACTACTGACTAAAAGATGAGAATGTTTATAGTGAAAAATCAATATCTTTAGTATAGTCCTTGAATTGTCAGCAGAAGTTAGTAATGTTTTCAAAAGTTGTTGCTTTATACAGATTAGCTAAAACTAGTTTCTTGAAGGCAATAATGGTTACTGTGAAAAGAAAGCTTGTAAACAGAAAGTTATAATGCTGTTTTGAATCGTGAGTATATTCTGTTCAATCATGTCAGAATCCATATTGCAATTTGATAATTCGTATAATAATTTTATATAGAAAAAAAACTGATGCACTTGTCACTCTGTATGCATTGCCTTATGATATTTTACATTTTTTCTTTGTGTAATACAACTTATCTCAATTTTTCTTTCTTTCTTTTAATTACTTTATTTATATTTTAGAATAATTTGCTTCTCTGTCATCCTACTTGTTTGGTCTAGTAGTTATTATGTCTGATCCCTCTCAAGATGATTTTTTTTGTAATTTTCTATTTTTTTAAATATTTTATTGCCTCTGCTTTTTATTTGGTTAGGTGGTTAGATATGATGCTAATTTTCCTTCTACCCTTATGATATTTTTGTTTAGTAATTTTGGATTAAACAAGTACTATAGTTGGAGATCTTTCACTTTGCTGTTTGTGGCTTCTGTTGTCTTTTCAGTATCTTTATATTCTAAGACCTATTGATTTGTCTGACTGGGCCAGGTGGTTAGGGCACTTGACTCACAATCTGTGGGTTCGAATCCCCATCCCACCAAACGTGCTTGACCTTCAGCCATGGGGATGTTATAATATGACAGTCAACCCCACTATTTGTTGGTAAAAGAGAAGCCCAAGAGTTAGTGGTGGGTAGTGATTAGCTGCCTTCCCTTTAGTCTTTCACTACTAAATTAGGCACAGCTAGTGCAGATAGCCCTCATGTAGCTTTACACAAAACTCAAAACAAACAAAAACAAACTGTTTGACTTTTGGTCAAACAGGCTTTTAAAAGTTGTGGAGAATAAACCATTTTATTACCTGTGAACAATTTGTTTATATTATTCTTCAGGGCATGTTGACTTTTCTCAAATATGGCAGTGCTCTATAACATCCTCATGAAGTCATGTGATTTTGATCTATTTAGACAAATCAACAATCATATTGTTCACCAGATGCTAGGGGCTCAGTTTAATTTTGTTTATATTACTCTGGGCCTTGAAACTTTCCATCAACCCTTAGTCTTGTCATATCCCTTAGATAATTAACATAACTTCAGATCAACAGTTTCTTTAAATGGCGTTTTTCTTTTTTTAATGAGTCACAGCATGTTCAAATCATTAAATTTGTATATCATTGTGTTAGGTTCATGCTTTTCTAAATATCAAACACAAACTAGAGCAATTTATGATTTTCCTTCTTTCATACAATGTCATGTAACATAGTTGTTCAATCAATTTTAGGGAGTTACGATACCAAGTCAGAGAAGATATGTGAACTATTATGGTGAGCTAGTCAGTAAGAACATTGAGTACAAACCTTTGGCATTGATTTTGAGGTCAGTAAAACTTGACCCAATCCCAATTTGTACTGGAGGAACAAGTAGTAAGTACAGTAGTAGTCTATATGATTTTACACTTGACATAGTTTTTTGTGCTTACAAAGACAGATATCCTGTTCAGTTTTGTAAGTTATTGGTTTATAATTTAAAATATTTTACATTGGAAAAACATTTGTACTTATTTTGTAGTGATATTTGTAATTCTATAAAGATTTCATTCCTCAGTATAATTTCAGACAGTTTAAAAAATTGATGCAGGTACAAATGCAATTTAAACTTAATATTAGAAATTTGTTGATATGCTCCCTTTTCAATTCAAGGTATTTGTGATGATATCATACAAGTAAGAATCATGTAAGATGATGTACGTGTGAAAGTGGGTTTATGGCCTCAGTTGTACTAAGTTTGTAACAAATGGCTTGGTACACAAGTACCAAATATTTACCATCATTTATAGATGATCTCAATTTGGTAAGCTCTCAATGTAATAGAAGACATTAGTTTTGTATGAGTATACAGTAATGAGTCTAGACTTTGATAGAATTGAATATTTGAAATACTTACACAACTGTAATAAATATGTGTATTTATGACTTGATATTAAATGGTTCAAGTGCTTGGAGTGTGATGACTCACCAGTTACTAATAAACTTTGTTTAAAAATCTTATTTAACAGAAAGTCAGTCTGATTATATAGTATACATGAAATAAAATGTAAGCAATCTCTCAAACTGAAACACCTGTTTGCACTACATTATGCTCGAGGATTTAAATAAACATCTTTTGAAATTCGTGTCTGTCCGTTAGTGATTTCATATATATATATATATATTTTTTTATTTGATACTACAAAAGTCTACATACTAATCTTTACGCAAAAAGTGTATAAATGAAAAAAATTTGATGTATAAATTAAAACAATCTCACTTGGCTAGTATTGCTTGTGTAGGAATACCACATTTATTTCTCACTTCATTCCTTTCAAATAAAAACTGTTTAATTCAGATAATTCAGCAAATTTTATATTGTTAATTGAACTGCAGTCTTTGCTATCATGAATTACAACTACTTGTGACTAAAATATAGTGTGATTTATTCATGCAATAATATAAACATTTTCAGTGTTTTGATTATAGTCATTTTTAAGTTTGCAGTGTAGATACCAATATCATGAATTACAACTACTTGTGACTAAAATATAGTGTGATTTATTCATGCAATAATATAAACATTTTCAGTGTTTTGATTATAGTTATTTTTAAGTTTGCAGTATAGATACCAATATTTTGATTGTTCATATTGAGAACTGTGCATCTCTCTATGGATTAATCTAAGTGAAAACTGTACAAAAACTCTTAAAGAATGAAGAAGATATATTTAGGCTTTATTGATGGAGTTAAGATCATGTTTGGATACAGATATTTAATGTTTTATGCAAATAGCATTTCAAATATATAATCATGACTTCCATAGACGTAGCCCATCTGATAATTACTGGTATTTGAGCAAAAAGTCTCCTGATGAATGTTTTGTGGCAAATTTAAAGATAAGCCATAGATATTATTTTTACACACCACACATCTGATTAGTAATCTGTAAAGGATTAATTAAGAGGAGTGTGAAGAAAAAACATCTTTAGTCAAGTGTGATTTTAACCTTTTTGTTAAGGTTTAAAAGCCTTAATATTCTACTAGCATAGGCATTTAACACAACTGCAGTGAGTTTACTTTTCGTTATAGTAATTCATTGAAAATAAAGAATACCTAAATGTAACTAATATAGCATTTTGATGTGTGTGTGTGTGTTTGTATGTGTATGTGTGTGTGTGTGTGTGTGTATATATATAAAATATTTATTCTATAGTAACAAATTGCTAAAGAATAAGATACAGTAATACATATACATTTTGCAGGTCCATATTTTGTAGTGTACCAACTAAATGTGAAGTTATACACATCCCCTGTGATAGAGTTCAGAAAAGGCTCAAAGTTCCTACATTTTGAGATTCCTCAGTCAATACTAGTGTGTGGGGATATAAAAATTGATTTCTATAACAAGCCCAAAATGATGAAGAAGGTAGGTTGTTGACAGATAATCTTGTACAAATTAATATTACAACAAATACTACAAAGTGTGGAAAACTCGAACTTTAAAATACCTTAAGTTACTAATAAAAGGTCTGTAGCATTTGGATGGTAATTCAAAGCTGGATTCTTGTGCCAAATCAGTAGTGTTTTCTTTACTCTAAGCAGTGTCTCGTTCTCTGCACTTGCAATCAACTTGAACATTCATTGAGACACCACCTCATCACAATCACCTAGTGCATGTTGAACAATACATGAATTATCTTTAGACTTCAGATTACTGTATTCTTTTGTTTATTCCCCTAGTCTTCTTATTGTGGAACCAATATAAGTTCCCTCACATGTTGAGTAATGGAATTCATAACTCGCATGGGATTGTTGAGGAAGACAATTTTATCCATAATTGAGAATTATGTTTAATCCAAGTGTAAAGTTTAAACACACATTTTATTTCTCTTTGGGAATAAACTTATGAAGACATTTTATTAGATTTTATTTTTAATGATATGGTTTAAAGCTATTGAAGTATGAATAAAGTCCAGTGTAAGGGCTATAAACACCACGTTACTTATGATCTAGGGCAGCGTGGTGATATAAGCTTTTTTGTTGTTTAACTGTTACTCATAAGTAAGACTATTGTTTATTAATCATAATTATTATTCTAGAATTTTAGCAGCTCTTCTCGAAAAGTTATTAAATGATTGGTATATAATTTACTTCATTGTTAAACATTCCAAGTTTGTTGTACACAAGATTGTTCATAATAGGTTAAATAGGCTTTTCTTGGCACTCACAAATAAAGTTTATCATGTTGACAATTTATAGTCATAAAAATTATATAAGCCTCTTCATTTTATACCACAAATATGCCATCCATATGACAATTATAAATAAGTTGCTTAAACTGAGAAGGACAGTCATCTAGCCTTTTGTGTTCATAAAAACACATTAGCCATGATAGGAGCTAAACACAAGCTCATGCTAACTCCATCTGTTTATTCATATAACTCTTTGTTAAATTGTTTGTTTGTTTAACCCATTTAGTAATTGATTTTGGCCATATTATAATTTGAAGCATAAATTAGTAGCCATACTTAGTGATACAAGAACAGAAATATTTACATTAAAGAAAATATTTTGCTTTTGTATATACTCCATAAAGTTAATTATTTACTTTAAAAACCTCAGGCTTAAAATACTGCTACACAGTTTTTACAAAATAACGTTAAAACACAAAAATATTGTACAACTTAGTATTACTTTATTTTTGTTTATTACTTATTAATTAGCTTTTGTTTGTAGATACTCCTGACAATATTATTATTATCTGTCTTGTTATACATTAACAGAGATTGAAAAACGAGTATTATCAAAGGTTTTAAGATTTACACTATCCTTAGATCAGATACAATTTCACGATTACCTCACACTATTTGAACTATTGTTAAGATAACCTAAGAATTATATCTATCCTGTCAGTAGTATTTAGTAATGTAAAAACCCATATAAGCAGGTCTGCATTCATATAATGTTAGATTATCAGTGACACTATTGAGTTCTCTGGATTGACCAAAGACCCTGCAATTGCAAAAGAAAATAAATAAATTAAGGTACTGGTTAGATGTGAAAAAATGGAAGCATTGTTGGTAACAGGACATAGCAATATTAGATCAGTGGTATCTCATCTTCTTTTTTATAGCTTGCCAAAAGTTCATAAACTTGGTTGTTCCATTTCTTCTATGGTGTCCTAGTATAGGCTGTTTGAACTACAGTTTAGCCAAATTCTTGAGCTTGTGTTTTTTTATTAATGGATTTCACTTGTAACAGTTACAGCCTTTTAGGTAGTTTTAAACTTTCAAAGAAAATAGTTAATGTGAGGTTTGATGATAAAGTATTTTATAGCTATCCTGGATATTGAGTCTTTTTCACAAACATTTCACTAAATGAGATTATTGATTTATGCTTGAAATTAGTATTTGAGCAAGATGAATTAATAAGTAGATTAAATAAACAAATATTTAAGAGATTAGTCAAATTGCAACTAAAGAAACTTTTTTCTTTCAATTCAACGAAGAGTTTTGTGAACAAACATAATGGATGTGTGTTTATCTCCTTTCATAGTTAATGAGTTTGTGTTTTTATGAAGAGAAAAGGCTAGATGTCCTTCTCGATTTAAACAACTTTTTTTATAACCTTTGTGTATGTGACATATTTGTGATGTAAAATGAAGAATGGCTGATGAAGTTTGTTGATTTCAAAAATGGTCTCCATGATAACAAACTACTAGTGAATGTCAACAAAAATATATTTTTTGTACTCTCTTGTGTACAGCAACTTAGAATGTTTTACACTGGAGTACATTATAAACCAATATACACTGGACTTTATTCACAATTTGATAGCTTTATGCCACATTATTATAAAGAAAATCTAACCAAATGTCTTGTATGTTGTACTTACAATATTACCATTCCTTTGAGTGTTATCAACAAGAACTGAATAACTTAGCATCAGTTTTGAAAATGAATTTTTTTCCAAAACATTTTGTCATTATGTCAAGTTTGATATTGAGAAAATGGTAAAACAATTTTTCATTCCTTCTCAATTAAGTTCTGATGTTCCTAAACTTCTAGTATTCGTACCTTTACCTTATACTGGAGTTCATTCACTCAAGTCAACTCAAAGAGAAATTGCATGCTATTATAAGAATTTTTCCACAGAGCAAGCTATGTATTGAAACCTTTCACTTGGGTTCAAAAATTTTATCAATTAGTAAACCAAGTTCTTAGTATCCTTTTGCATGAGTATCATGACATTTGTTTGCTTCAACTTGCTTATCCTCTATTTTTATCATCACCCTTGCCGTGCTCACCTATCACATCCTCTCTTTTACAAATAGCCAATAATTTTCTTTGAGTTTGCTATTTATGCAGAAAGACAGTTTCAATTTACTGAATGACTTATAATGCAACCTTGTTTTCAGTAAATATTTTTAGTTATTTCACCTACAGTTAGATTGTTCTATCGCAGAATTCAGGACCAGTAACTAAGGGAATTATTTTAAATTATAATAGTTATAGGACATTGTTTGCTTTGTGCATCATATTATTTTCTATTCTTAAATGCATAGATGAAATAATTAAATATTTATTAATGTACTGGTACCATCATTACAAAAAAAGGAGGCTTAAGTTTCATCAGCAAGCCAACAGCAAAAATAGGAAGATGCCACATGTAAGTACTAATTTTCTTGTTTTTTTATGTATAATTTTATTTATTGTTATAAGAGTAACTAACTTATTAAGTTAGATTATGTAAGATAATGAAAAAATTATTACAAAAATTTCTCAATGAGATATGTCTGCAAGTAGCTTGTGCATTACATCATTCAACATGTGACTGCATTTTACTGCCAGAAAATAATTATGTTCTTAAAACAAAACATTTCCTAGCACAGTGAATGACCTTATTCTCAAAAATTAAAACTGATCAATAGCATGTAGGTACAAATAATTATGTTCTTAAAACAAAACATTTCCTAGCACAGTGAATGACCTTATTCTAACTAAAAATTAAACGT